CATCAAGTCCACACCGGCTCACAGCAACCCTACAGGAGAGGGTAGAACTGCTCCCAGGAGTTTCCGAGGCTGTCAGTGTTTACCACAGGAGAAAGACCCGTCTTTCTCCCACCACTAGAATCGAGGTAAAGCAGTCGTCATCTGTGCGAGGTTCCACCGCTTCTTCCCACCCGAATGGGAAGAAGCCCTGGGAGGTACCCCGGTTCACCGAGCATCAGAAGAGTCAGTACGGTGAGGGTCAGGTGAAGAATCCCAAAACGTAGAGGCGGCGGCGGGATGATGGGTGCGGGGGTTTCCGTGTGCTCCAAGTGGTAGTGGGTGTTTTGCTGCTTGCTTTCCTGAGTTCATGGGCACTTTGCTTTGAACCCCCTAGGATGTTTTTAGGCTGCATCTGGGGCGGCGTTCAGCTGGATTGCATTATAGGAGGGATTGAGACGGGTGGTCTCCAGGGGGGATTCTTTGCCCCACATTTTGAAAACTAAACATTTGTATAGTTATCCCCAAAATCGATCTATCAAAGGCAGCATAACCAGGAAAGGGGGTTCATTCAGAGCCCGGTGGTCTGGGTTGGGCAGGGACCCCCTCACACTTGATGCCTTGGGAACAGCCAGGGAGACATTGCTGGTCAGCCCCATGAGAGGTGGCACGGGTTGCCCAGGGTGGGGCAAGTATCGGGCTGCTTACCTGGCCTGCAGGCCTGAGTCACAGTTTCCATGATGAGTCTGGGCAGAATTACACTTCCCTGGGGCACCAGACCCTGGGGGGACTGGCCGTGGCCAGCCACAGGGAGCAGGGACACACTCCTGCTTCCAGGAACAGCTGGGAGTCCCGCTCAGGAGACAGAAGGAACCAGAACAAAAGCGGGGGCTGCCACTATCAGCCCCGCCCGCCCACAGTGGTGGCGTTCAAGGTATCATCTCAGCGACTCAGGTCACCCCTGCCCAGTTGGCATGATTTTAGAAACCCAGACCCACTGCCATCCAGTGGATGGCAGCCCACAGCATTCCTGCACAGGCTTTCTCAGCCTCTGCATCCTGACAGGCGCAAACAAGCCTCATCATCTATCCTGGAGCTGGTGGATTTGAACCAGCACTTCACCCACCGTGCCACCAGGATTCCTGTATCAAGAGGATAACCCTTTGCATTCAAAAGAATTAATCACTATCACCTTCTGGCCTCTCTGCCCGGCATTGAATGAACTTGGCAGACCCCCCCCCCTCCCTTCCAGAAGGTACCACTGTGACTGGGCCTTTGTTGAAGGCACCCATCCCCACCCCTATAGAGACTGCAATGTCTCTGCGAGCACTTGTCCTGCACCTAACTAGGAACAGGAAGCCCATGCCTGTAGGAACTGACCCTCCTAACAATATTGCTTAGATCCTCTCAGTCATGCCTGGGGCTACCCCATGCCACCAGAAGCCTTGGCTCCAAGGTGCTCAGCTCCCTGCCCTGTGGGTCAACATGCGACCTTGCTCTGTGGGCCAGGAACCCACTATGCCAATCTCTGGTTTGCGGCTGCCATTTCTCTACCACTGCTTCTCGACATCTCACACCATGGAGGGTGTTACAGCTATAGCTCTCTGTGTCTGTGTCTCCGGAGTCTAAGAGGACTAAGAGGACGTGCTTGCTCCTGTCTCATCTGGGTGGTTGGGAAGTCCCCTTTTTGATCTCTCGCTGACTCTCTTTTAAGCCTAATGGGCTGAAAACTGACCAATCAGCAAAGCTGACCAATCCTCTCCCCGAGGTCTCTAATACCGTATCTGAGGGAGCCCTGGAGGTTGTGCATTGGTTTGCCATCTGCATGGTCAGCAGTTTGAAACCACCCGCAGCTCCGCGGGAGAAAGACTGGGCTTTCTCCTCCCACGAACAGTTAGAGTCTTTGAACCAACAGAAAACTCACTGACTCAATGGCAGTGAGCTTGGTTTGGGTGTTTGCTTTTTAATCCTTTTATTGGGGCTCGTTCAACTCTTATCACAATCCATCCATCCATCCATTGTGTCAAGCACACTTGTATATTTGTTGCCATTCTCAAAACATTTTCTTTCTACTTGAGCCCTAGGTATCAGCTCCTCATTTTTTCTCTTCCCTTCCCCACCCTCCCTCCCTCATGAACCCTTGATAATTTATAAATTATTATTATTTGTGCATGTCTTACACTGACTGATTGGTTTGGGTTTTATACCTTATCTGCTTGGTCTCACACCCACAAGGGTGTCTTGCACCTTATTTGCATAGTCCCACCCAACCATGTGGTGGAAGTTAGAAGACCACGGTGAGGCAAGTGACCCATCCCACTGCACACCTGTCCTATAAGTGGGGAAACTGAGGCACAGAGAGCCAACCCCCCCCCCTCAAGTTACACAGTTGGAAAGTGGCTATGAGACCATGTTTTACCTGCTTCTGAAAGCTGAGGCATGGAGCACCCCTAAGGGCCAAAGCCTGGTGGGCCGGAAGTCTAAGGCGATCATGGGTCATGGAGCCACCATAGCCAGGGCTCTGAGGCCAAAGCCAAATAGGAAAAGGAGACCCTAATTGAACCGAGTGGCCCCGGCTTGTCTAGTTCACCCAGCCACGAGTTGAAAGGGCCTTCAGAGAGGATGGAGAGGGTGAGGGACGGGCCTGTGTCAAGACTCTGAAGTCAGCACTGATCTGGACCCAAGCTCTGCAGCTCTCCCCTATAAGCAGGGCCTCTTTCCATTCTGTGGTTTTGGTTTGTCTGTTTAATGCATTTTAAATTGGGAGTCAATATCTATCTCGTTCCGCCGTTCAATCAGGTCGAGTAGAATTGTCCGATTGCTACCACGGTCTGCAAACATCCCTTCTCTTCTTGGAAGCCTTGACAGCATCTCACTTTCACCAACTGCCCTCCCTTGCCCCCCCTCCCCTCGCCGCCCCCCCTCGCCCAACCCCTGCCCTGAAGCCCTTATTCTACTTGTTGTCCTAATAAATTCATCAACATGAGTTTTATATACCAAAAACCAGAAAAACTGATACCACAAGGTCAACCATGCTGAGGCGTCTGTCTATAGCTACTTTCCACCTCTCAGAGTTCTCTCTTTACACCAAGAACTAAAGTCTTCTACGGCGCATGCCCTTGCTCAGAAGTCTTCCCTGGTATCTGCTGCGGTCCACTCTGTATGACCTCATCACCCTGGTCCCCCCAGCGTGTCCACGCCACCAGGCCAGACTCCTCACCCCTCCTACCCCACTTACATCCTCTTCCTATTCCCTCCTGACTCCACCCTGCTGCCTTTGCCCACTGCTGCCGGCCCCTCCTAGCAGCCCTCCCAGCAGCCTCCTTGATCAGCGCCATCCCGGGGCCCCTGCCATGTCTGGGTGCTGGATCAGACCGCCCCGCTCCCCATCTTGTGGCGTTCACTCATAAGTTAGGCTAATCGTTAGATCCTAAGTTTCCTGAGATCCCCCCAAACTAAAACAATCAGTTGCCGCCCAGTTGAGCTCCAACTCACAGCGACCCTGTGTGTGTGCACTGGGGCCTCGCTCTGGAGCAACGGTTCTCAACCTGTGGGTCGTGACCCCTTTGGGGATCGAACGACCCTTTCACAGGGTTGCCCGACTCATAACAGTAGCAAAATGACAGTGATGAAGTAACAATGAAAATAATTTTATGGTTGGGGGTGGTCAACACAACCCGAGGAACAGTATGAAGAAGGTTGAGAACCACTGCTCTATAGGGCTCTGATGACTGAGATCCTTTGGGAAGCAGACCACCACCCCTTTCCTCCAAGGCGCTCTGGTGAGGCTGGAACCTTCAACCTTTGGCTCATAGTCAAGCGCTTAACCATCTCCACCCCCTGGGCCACCCCCTGGAGGTGAGCTTGGGACCTACAGCAGTGACTGCTCTCCGAATGCAGGTGGGAGCCGTGCTCTGGCCAGGACACAGTCAACGTGCTTACTTAATTGTGCAGCAATTCTCCAAAGTCTAACACTTGGGGAAGGGTCAGCATATGGCCGGAGTATCCACCCAACACCTTTCTGCTGAGCCCGAAGGGGTCCCAGAAGCTTCTCACAACAGTGCCCCGGGCAGCTGTGGCCACCGGAAGTCCTCTGCGATGGTGAGCCTCTGTGCCACCTGGAGGGGGTGACCGAGGAGGACAGGGCCCTATCTATGCAGTCCCCTTTGGATCCCAGGACCTACGCCGAGCTGGACACGTACAGACGCTCAAGAATCTTTACAAGTGGATGGAAGCCT